CATATGTATGGGACTTTGGATTTTACATTTTAGGTTTAATTTAGACTTTATTGTAATATTCAACTCATGATTTTTTAACAGCATTAATAAGGAATTTCCTTATTAGGAATATATTATATACATAAAGCAAGTATAAATAAGGAATTTCCTTATTAGGAATATATTATATACATAAAGCAAGTATAAATAACATTATGACATCAGATCATCAATCTCTTAAAATTAATGGGTTGTGAGCAAAACCAAATCTTCAACAACAACAAAAAGATCATGCAAGACACTCTTAATAAAAGCTTGAAAAAGGAACAAATAAATATACACAATCGCAAAAACAAAAATGAAACGACGGCACATAGATGTCAATAGAAATTGACGACAAAGACAAACTTTAAGAAATCTCCAGATCAGTTCAAGCAACTTCATTTAAACATTAAGGAAAGCTCTTACATTTAAACATTTGGTATTATCATGCATTTGGCATCTATGTAGGTATGAGTTTAAAAGAAAGTTATTACATTTAAACATTAAAGAAAATAATAAAAATTAAAACCAATCACCAATTCATGAATATAACCCGACTATTCGAGCAATTGTTTGTCTCCGCAATAGCTAGTAATAGTCGCCGATACATCTTCACGTTGAAATACATCTTCATGTGAAATTTCCTGGAATTCCACCAACTACAAAGGTTCAACACCTGAACACGATAAATACAACACAACATCAACCAATGTACTCATCCATCATTTGAAGAACACATGAAACAATATATTATATGATATGAGAAAATGAAAAGATAATAAACATCATATCCAAATTTTTGGTTAAGTACATCGTTCTTGGGATAGGGATTGGTCTAAATCCACTGCCAAATCATTAGATAACTATAAGTAGTGTTGWAACAATCAGCCATTTACTAAACGTTTACCAGATCCTGGTGCATTTCTACTGCCGAGATTTCAAAAGCCTTTGCACATAAACCAAATCAAATCATGCTCAACAAAAAGAACATTAGCCCATTACCTGAATCATTCATCAAGCCACAACTTGTAAGATCTATCTTCTCTAAAATCCAAAAATAGAAAAAAGTTGAATAAGCCTACTCGGAAAGTCTATCCCTCAAACAATCAAATTGTAAACCATGAACATGTGTATAAACCCAACATAAATGAAAACAATACTMTATGGACTTTATAGAACCCAATTGCATGTATGTTTTGTCTAAAAACATTTTAATTTGGATTTCCAGCCTGAAAGGTTTAAAGTGTGCCAACCATGMGAAGTAGCACATATAGATAAAGACGGTAAACCGTTGGGACAGACATTTACACACACAAACAYTTAAGAATAAATATGAAGTGGGTACATGCATTCCCARTTCTCCAAAAGTGAAATTAGATAATTAAGACAACCAACATTTCGATGATGAACAAGAGTAGCGGTTGTTGCTGATAGTAAGTTGAAAAGAGAACCAATCTTCTTTGAGAGCARCGGCTGACCAAGTACTTTTGAAATATATGCCAAGTATGTGTCCCTCTTCTTCTGAAACCCTACTATATGTGTATGTGTGTATTTATCTCATAGTTTTCATGACTACTTGTTCYTTTGAAAAATGAACAACTTTTAGTGTAAATTTTGATAATGAACACCATCCTTCTCATTTCCAATTCTCTAAGATGAAACATCATAGTCAAAACTATTTGGTTGTCTGGAATGACTCAAAACAAGTGTTTTTCTCTTTCTCTCCAAGAGACAAAAGCATCATAAAGAAAGATATATAGATATTAAAAAAAATTCTAAGTTTTTCCCCACTTTTGGCAAGCAAAGAATCGAATGTTGATTGGGCCTTCCACACAAATGCAAACAGAAAATCAAATGCTTCCCTTACAACTTTTGGTTTGGCGGCTTCCACAGAAATGTTGTTTGATTTTGTAGAGGAGACACCCAAACCTGAAAAGAATTCTTTTATGTCACTACACACTGTGGCACCGATTGCTATACATATATGAAATGTAGAGGCAAACAAACAATCAATTGCAATCGAAAATAAAAATTAAGCAATGGACTGAAGATGTAAACCTGTAAATCGAAGCTCCTTGACTTGGAAGAGATTCAGGGCCTGCAAAAGAGAGAGATTTCGACAACCACTAAATAATAAATGTACCAACAATCAAAAATTGGAAATTGCAACAAAGAAAATGTATCCCCAAACTTTACTTTGTGACCTTAAAACTTACCAAGTTTTCTTCTGGTGGAATAAAAAATGTTGTAAATCATACACACCAAAAAAATATTATTGCAATCTAAGAATACTATGTTCACATAAAACAAAGGCAGAAAAAACTAACAGGAACAATTCAATAGATTGGAATAAGAACTAAAGGAACAAAAAAGACTCAACCAAAAGTGGTAGTAGACCAAATCTTCGATTCCCTAACCCTCCACYTGATGATTATGTGCATTCATTCAACAAAATATAGCAGAAATGACACCACTCTTCACCATAGAGCACATGGTTCTTAGTTCTCTAGGAGGATCTGGTCAAGCTTCTGTTCACTTCCATTGTAGTCAAACCCTTATAATACTTTTCTAATGTTCAAAATATGAAGAAAAAAAGCATTTTAGGATCACTTGGGTTGTTTATGGTAAACTACAAAAAAACTTCCCAAATGTTGCATCATTTAAAATGCCTCCAAAAGCAAAGTTTAACAAAGCAAGAAATAATCAAAAGATGTACAAGAGAAAGTACTTCTATGATACATGTAACAATGAACACATTTGGTTCGGAATAAGCCAATGACAAAAGATTATTGAAGTTCAAAAACATAAACAATAAGGGTAAGGATTTTCAAGATCCTTATCATAATGAAGATGACTATATCATATATATATATATATATATATATATATATATATATATATATATATATATAGGTTAGTCAATATGTATTGATGTATATGTTTAATCAGAATCACCGAAGCAATTTTTGTTTGATTGTCGTACTTTTCAGCAAAAGAGACAATGTACATCAGCTGCGGTTTCAAATCACCTCTGTCACGTTAAAAATATTATAGCAATTTAATTCAGAAAACTACCATCAAATAGAAAATAGACAGAATAGATTAGGTTCATACGAGTCCGCAGAAAGAACACACCGGCAGGCAATTGGAGAGACTTGGCAGTTTCTGTCATAAGCCGAATTTTCCAAGAACAATGTCAGAGAGACTTGACAGATTAGCCTAGTGCATRTATGATATGTTTGAAAGATTCAATACACAAATACGTCCTAAAATGTTATACAAAATCCATCTTCACAAAAGCACCAAAATGTGAACAGTTCAAATATCAATCTTATGAGAATCCTACACTGGTTAGCCTAGTGACTTGTGGGATAACCCATAACCCACCTTTGAAATGTTGAATTCTCATCTACAGAGAGCACTATATTTAATTATTTCCAGGAATGATCACAGAAATGAACGAAACTGTGTTCTGGTTACTAAAAAATTCTTGATTTTGAAAAATAAAAGTGGAATTTAATTCTTTGAAAGGTTATTGAGAAATCATTTAATTCACATTCATGTGTTTCAATAGGTGCCAACTCATTTTATTGGTGGTGAGGTCTGTATAACTATGAGCTTGGAATGGATGGCATTGACACTTGAAATATATGTTCAGATGCTGAAACTTGGAAGCATCATTGTTCTTTCTAGTGGTTCACAACAATTTTGCTCTATTATTTCCCTTTCATGACCTCTCAAATATTCAGTAGAAGATACTGAATTTTATACTCTATTTAACAATGCTCAACTACGCACAACCAATTCTTTGTAATTTTTCAGTTTGTTCAGTATGTTCAATGTATCCTAGGATAGCAACAATTTCATGGGCTATCTATATGCTTAAATACTATCTTAACCTAAGGTCGCAAATTCCAGTTGGAAATGGGAGAAATTAACATGAAAAGCACATGAGATGGAAGAGAGGCTTATACACTATGTAGCAATTCTTGCCTCTCAAATACTAAAAATTGAGTTGTTAACCAATTACTTCCACTAACATTAATAGCACATTAAGTTGTTAATCAGTTGCTTCCAGTCAAAACCATAATTTACCTGGCAGTGATTAGCGATGTATCTCCAGCAGATACATGACCTGCACTGGAGATATCCCAGAATCCAGGCCACGAATCCTTGCAATCGGCACGTCGTTGGAGAAGAAGTTCCAGTGTACTTTTAGCAAAAATTCACACATGAACAGCTCGGTGATAATACCCCTCTTTGTGCACAGCACTTCTGTACAAGGTAGATACAAGAGTTATGTAGTACCTTTCCTTTAGTATTTAAATGTTTGACCAAAAATAAACAGATAAGATCTCTCTCTCTCTCTCTCTCTCTCTCTCCCTCCCTCCCTCGGCTTCGAATATAAACATGTCATCTCAAAATATTACGTACAGTTAGCATTCCAGCTCCTCTAAATAGTCCAAACCTTGAGGATCTGCTCAACCGGCAAACAGAGGCCAGGCTTTAGGGCTCCTCCGAATTACATATGTCACTGAATCGTCGTCTTGAATCTGAGTTGTAAAAGGGAATCGTAGTATAAATCGTCACTGGTGGGTATGAATCTGAGTGGTAAGAAATCAAAGAAATAGATGGTTTACCTGAAAATGGTATGAGAAGAGAGAAAAAAACCCTAAATCGATGGAGCACAGGGGCACGTGAAGTAGCAATAACACAAATAAGACATGCATCAAAAACTGAATCRTCGTGTTGGACAAAAGCAATCATCGCCTTGGAGAAAGCAATCATCGCCTTGAATCGTCACCGGTGGCCGGGTGGGTATGAATCTGAGTGGTAAAAGTCTTTTATGCAGAGTGCAGTTGTAACTTAGGCTATTAAAGTTGTAATTAAGATTAAGATTTTAGATGGATTAGAAGGGTACTCGCGCAATGCAGCGAGATACATCTTGATTTTAATATTTCATTTTATTCTTTATCTCGGTTGATGTTATAATATGGTCTTATGTGATTTTGAAAAGACGATGATGTTTTTATTTTTAATAAAATATAAATTTGAAGGTATCATAAAATTTTGACAAAAATATATCGATATTATTATCAAATTAACTATTTAAAATT